TACCATCTGAGAAGGTGTTTGGGGTGGGTTTAGAGGGTCCAAATACCTTCTGAGGAGGTACTTGGAGCCCTACATTACGTAAATTGAAGGATTACGGGAACTTTTCTGAGTCCTTTGCTTCGCCACCTACAACTTCTTGCCATGTGTTCCCAGTATTGTCACCCTCTGCAAGCCGTGTGACACCCCACTTGCCACCGTTGCTCGATGCTCAGAAGCGAAACATTTCTGTGGGGCGAGTGTATTCATGATTTTAGACTCTCGCGAGTGTGGTCTGAGCAACCTGGATAGGCCTTCGGCCTTCGCCTTCGATTCTGAGGTATGCCGTGGAGCGCTCCAAGAACGAGTCCCGACCCACGATGATGGCCTTCTCTCGCCAGGCCGTGGACAATTTGCCCAACTCGTCCATTGAGAACACCCTGAAGGGTGAGAGACTCGGAGCACCGTCTGCGACTGGGTCGTTTGGCTCCGTCTCCACTGCCCACCGGTCGTTTTGTATGTGGGGAGGTGAGGGCAATCGCTTTTGGAAAACAGTTAAAGCCAAAAAGAACGTCACCTAATAGCAATGGCCTCCAATCTAGGAGCGATGGCCTCCAACCCAATAGCAATGGCCTCCAACCTAATAGCGATGGCCTCCAACCTAATAGCGATGGCCTCCAACCTAATAGCAATGGCCTCCAACCCAATAGCGATGGCCTCCAACCTAATAGCGACGGCCTCCAACCCAATAGCAATGGCCTCCAGCCTAATAGCGATGGCCTCCAACCTAATAGCGATGGCCTCCAACCTAATAGCGATTGCCTCCAACCTAATAGCGATGGCCTCCAACCCAATAGCGATGGCCTCCAACCTAATAGCGATTGCCTCCAACCCAATAGCAATGGCCTCCAACCTAATAGCGATGGCCTCCAACCTAATAGCGATGGCCTCCAACCTAATAGCGATGGCCTCCAACCCAATAGCGATGGCCTCCAACCTAATAGCGATGGCCTCCAACCTAATAGCGATTGCCTCCAACCTAATAGCGATGGCCTCCAACCCAATAGCGATGGCCTCCAACCTAATAGCGATTGCCTCCAATCTAATAGCGATGGCCTCCAACCCAATAGCGATGGCCTCCAACCCAATAGAGCCTCCAACCTAATAGCGATGGCCTCCAACCTAATAGCGATGGCCTCCAACCTAATAGCGATTGCCTCCAACCTAATAGCGATGGCCTCCAACCCAATAGCGATGGCCTCC